TGAAGTATGTTTTTAGCAAACAATGCAGTCATAATGATTATTGTTGTCTGTATACAGTAGAAGACTATTCATAGTTTTTGTCTTAAAACATAGCGAGTTTGTTTTTTGCATGCTTCTTGTGGAAGTGCAGTTAGGAAAAAAAATGGAAGGTAAGTTTTCTGCTTGTTGTTACGTTCATATGTAGATAACATTACTATCTTATTGCTTTCCTGCTTTATGTTCACTTGCTGTGTTGCATGCATTCAGTGTAAGAACACTTTCCGAATGTGTCTGAATGCATTTTCCCATAGGGTAGTGTAATGAGAGTATGCACTTACATTTGCATGTGTTCTCTCTCTTTAGAAAGCCAGTGAGAATCAGAGTGCTCCAGCAGCCAGTCCAACAGAACAGCCCCCAAATCTGAGAGAAACTGATGAATCCAGAGATTGTTCAATACCTGCAGCGACACTCAACTCCCAAACTGACCCAGAGCCCCCTAGTGTTGGATCAGCTTCCCTTTCTCAGTAATGCTCCATCTGCTGCTGCAGGGCACTAAGATGACTTCATCTTATCAAATCCACTGCATGAAATTGTGCTGCTCTGCTGGGAAATGGTGGAACAAGAGCTCAAAAGAGCCCTTCACCTTATGTGACTAGGAACTACAGGCGCTCAGCACGTCTTGAAATCAGACACATCACATGATGCAGCACAAGCTTTTAAGACCATTTATATGACAATATACAGTAGCAACATTGCAGGGGAAGCTAAAGGTCTGGAAGGCTTGGTAGAGGAAATGGGACTGAATCTCACTGCCTTAGAAATTCTCAGTTGCTTTGCTAAAGTTTGGTCAAATGTTATGAGATTCTTTGCAATCTGTAGAGAAAGGGGAGCTTATACTGACAGTTGTGTAATATGAAGAAAAAACACTAAGTCACTTGATATAATTTCCCCTATTTGATGAGTTAGTTTAAATTTAATTTTTCCCCACAGAGAAACTAAACTGGAGAAGAAAACACTATGGTCTTTCTTTTTAGGAGAAAAATTGCATTTCCCTGGAAAAGTTAAATAAACTAAGAGACACTAGACAAAGTAAATACATAAATAAAGGTGCAGCCTAGTCTTTTGCAAAGACTTCTCAAAAACCTTGAATAGCTTCAGCAAGAATGTTTTTATAATGTGGTGATGGATGAAGTGACACCAAGTGGAATCTTTGAATAGTTAAGCTGCCATTAACGCTCTTCCGAGAGGTAGGTTTAGTTTGGCAAGGCATAAACTTTTGAAAAGGGCATTTTAGAAAGAACCAAATGGAGGTGAGGTTAAATCAACTCAGTATGCTTACAGCCCTTCACTAAACGGGGTGTTTGCTAAATGTATGTGTGTATAATTTTAGGTTTGATGATATGCCCAAGACCACAGACCTTGGTCAAGATTGGGCAGTTTGAGATTGATTGAGAGTGTCCACTGGAAACATCTTTTTATTTTATTTTTTATTTCATCATATTAAATATTGTTGAACTAAGTGTTCCTACTATGGTTATGTATAGAAGATAATAAGAGCTTCAAGTGCCTGGGGAGGGAATTGCCTATAAATCATGATGATTGGGGGTAGGGAGGGGGAGATGCTATTAACAGGAGTTTCAATGAGCAAAACCCTCCGAAATAAAGAAACATGATTAAATTGACCGTATGTTTAGAGACTTGTTTTACACAGACAGTGTCAGACACTGGAAGATTTTGAGTTATGTCTAGTCATGCTTTTCAATGTTAACTGTAGCCAGCCCACTGGCTGGTTCATAACACAGATTGCTGCTGAGAGGAGAACTTGGGTTCAAGGTTGAAATCAATGGGGTGTAAGTCAGGACAGTATTTGGCCCAGTGTCTCACATCCGTGAACTGATCCGGAGGGGCTGAGCCCATGTAGCTTCCATTGAAGTGACTAGGAACGGCAGGTGCTCAGTCTGTCTTGGAATCAGACACGTGCTCAGCAGGCTTCCTTGCGGAAGGTGCATGCTGCCTCACTTGACTTCAGTGCACAGCCTGTGGCATGATACAGCTGGGTGTGAGGGAGGAAGAGAAGAATGATGGTTTAGAATGAAGCGGTGAGTGGAAATTCCAGACCCTTTGATCCCCAGTTGGATGAACTAAAGCCTCCCCTGCTATCCTCGCACATGCCTTAGCAAGGCCTATGGGGCTGAGGTCGAGCGCACACATTGGTGCCTGGGACCAGCACCACAAAGAGAGTACAATTAAATGTTAATAACTAGCCACTAGTTATGTTTTGCACTTGAACTTAAATGTACTGTACTGTAAATTCTCATGACTCGTTGAAGTGTCCTTTAAAATCAGAAATGTATTTATTGTATGTTTGTATAACATTTTGGGAATGGAGAACTGAATGGGTGACAGGCTAAAGGTGTTAAAATTTTCTCAGCTAAGCGAAAACATTTATACAGAGTTAATGCAATATGGTGTTACCTCAACTTCTACTGAACAGCACCTACATTGTGAGGTGGAGATCTTACATATTGTGTTTACACTTCCAAATTGTTTTTTTGAAATGCCTGCTCTTTTGGAACTGTACATTCATTCCCGGTTGCAAAGTGAACATGTACACATGGGTTTTGATATTTGTGAAAATTGTAAAAGTGCAGTAAGAAAAATATAAAATATCTATAATGTGTTTAAAAGAACCTGTCTGAATATTTTTATTAAATTTCCCATTTTGCGTAATCACATATTGGCCACATACATGATGATAATCTGAGTTAAAAAAAATCAATCCTAAACAGCTTTGGCAAGGTTCTCCCATGAAAGATTTTGCGTTGCCTTAATGTATATGAGGTGAAAGGCAAATCAGTGTATCAAATCAAAATCTGTTTGTGAGGAAGAGCAGAATGTAGGAGCAAATCACCCAAGTCTCATGGTAATGGAAAGCTAGTAGTGGGATGATCTATAAGGGGTCAGTGCATCCCAAACAGCCCGGCATAGATGGATGAGTGTGGTTTGAGTTATGCAAGTTCTTCTTATTGCAGGCCAAGAGATAAAGTAGAAAGTGGTCTGAGCTGCCACTTGTAACCACATTTTCATAACTTTCTGAATATTTGTATCTTAGCCCCAATAAACCCATTTAAGCAGCCATCTTCAACGTCTGATTCTAGTCCTCTTAACTGCGAATTCCTAACTAAATGAATATATTTGCACCAGTGTGTCCAGTAGCAGTGTTTGTTGGCACAGTGAAGTTTATCTTCACAGAACAAATTTAATTTGCTTTTTTCTTCTGACTGCTTAATTTGTGGGGCATGTGGGAGCAGCAGAAGGGGGAGATCTTGGGAATCTATCGATCTTCCATACTCATTAAGTGGAAATCTCCTACAAAGCCCAACCAGAAGCTGGGAGTGGATGACGGGATGGATCACTTGATAATTGCCTGTTCTGTATATTCCCTCTGAAGCACATGGCATTGGCTGCTGTCAGAAGTCAGGATATTAGGCTAGATGGACCATTGGTCTGACCCAGTAAGGCCATTCTTATGTTCCTCCTCTTCAACCGTACCTATCTTACTATCACCACACTGTGGTTCTGCTGAGGTCTGGCTCTTCTGTGGGCATGGAGAAGGCTGGGAAGATTTCACTCTATGCAAACACTCTCTGGGGGTTGGGGGGAAATAGAGAAACACCTCTTTGAAGCAGCAGGGGAACTGCACCCTTTAGATGTGTTGTGAGGTACAAGACCAAAGGACCTCAACCTCCCCCCGAAGGACAGGTGCACCCACCTGTCTGACTGCTCTTTGTGACGTGTACTGTTTTCATAAAGTGATTAAAATGAACCAAGCAAACGTTGCTATTTTTATTTAAAAGCTTGACACAGCATAGTATGTCGAGTGCACTGTACATGAAATTCATATATTTCCAAAACCTGAAATTGTTGAAAAAAATAAATGAAGCAGAGGATAAAATAGTATGCAAGCCTTCGTTAAGGGAGGAAGGATGCTCTAATGGTAAAGACACAGGCCTGGGGCTTAGGAGATCTGGGTTCTGCTCTCACAAAGACTTAGTGTGTGACCTTGGGATGTCACTTTCAACTCTCGCAGTGCTCCTCTAAAATGGGGATAGTACCGACCTATCTCACAGGAGTGCCATGAGGATAAATTCCAGTGTTCTGTAAAGTGCTCAGAAACCAAGTGGGTGACTGGGGGAGAGGGGAAGGGGGGTTGTTTACATAGATAAACATTCATAAATCCTCAAAGTTCATGATCTTAGCGATATTTGGAGGCTTTAAAGGTTTGTTTTAATGTTCTTTCTGAGCTAGTCATTAAAACATTCGTGTGTATCTCGGGCTGCTGTTGCTCTTCTCTCCTGGGGGTGCGGGGCGAGGTGTTTGAAGCAGCCGCCCTACTTGATCATCTACTGAAAAATATTGAGAAAACAGGTAAAGTGCAGGAAAAATTCAACTGTATTGAATTGTTTTTTTCCCCCTAGTGAACATATTAATGTTAATAGTGAGCTATGTGACTATATCATTATGGAGGTGCAGGCAGTCCCTGTACATCACCTTGTGGCTCAGTTTGGTACTGCAGCAGTGCCCCCCTCCTTCATTTCCCCTGATTGGGGGGGCCATAGGTTTGCTTTAACACCCGGAGGGGAGCTAACACACACTAACAACATAAAGTTCTCTTTTATCAAGGCTTCAGGAGAGGAGTAATTCAATTAAAACCCGCCCATAAGGTCCTCACCTCAGAACCTGTTTCAACTTCAAAATTTAAATCCATAAACAAAGCCTCTAGTTAAGCTCCAGGACACTGACCAGCCTGAGAGAAAACAACCAACACCTGCTATCACATGCACAGTTTCTACTTCCCTCTCTCTTGCTCAGTTTCTTTTCTGTTTATCTAGCCCAGCCCTAGGGTGGAGCAGGGTCTCCTTGATTACACCCCAGGCGGTCCTAGCTGTAGGTTCCAGCCTGTCCCTTAAAGGGGTAGTACATTTCTTCACAAGGATAATATACTCCTGTGGGGGGGGGGTATCATCACCAATCTATTAGCTGCTTTGTTTCATAAAGCTCAAGGGGGTTGCCTGGATTTAAATTGGGACAAGATATGTCCCTTTAAAAAAAAAAAATCATGATTGTGAACCTTCAGCTACCTGAGCACTGTGGCTGAAAATCCTTTACTTGCTTCAGTATGGTGCAGAGAGCCTGAAATGTGTCATACTACGCTGCCTTTCCTTGACAGGCCAGATATTTATAACAATACATTTCAAGTACTTAGCTTCAACTATGTAGGTGTAACATAAACCTCCTCCAGCCATGTAAGGCCATTGTGCTAGAGGAGAGATCCACCACTCTGCAACGCAGCCAAAGACCTTGGACTTTATCCACCTCTCCTGTGGTTCTGACCACTGTTTGGTGAATGTATCTACTAATGTGATGGGTTTATCTTGCTAGTAGTAGAAAGCACCAAAGCAAGCCCAATATGATGCTGGGACTGGGATGGAGAGATGTGGCCGTGAATCTAGCAGAGTCCTCCCCCAGTATTTTATTGGTGACAATTACAGACTTGCTCAGTAGAGCCCTCTTGCTGCTAACACAATCATGGTCCCAGTTTGGTTTATAAATTTTAATAAGTAGGGCTTATCTTCTCTCACACACCCGCTGTATGGCTATAGAATGAGCTTGTCTTCCTGAATGAGCGAGATGGTCTAATGGTGTTTAATTAGGTGTTAGGCTTCTCTTTATTGAAAAACAGAAAAAATCTCATTTTAAAATTTTAATTTAAACTCTAGAGCTTCCTGGAGTCTCCCTATAATTCTCTCTGGGAAGTGCTAATATAAAGGCAAGCTCTGAAGACTTTTCAGTGTAAGGAGGCACCCATGTATATGGTAAGCTGTTTCTTTTTAGCACTGTTTTATGCTATTTGGGTCCCATCTCGTGTCTCCCCCCCGCCCCCCATGGGGAGACTAGCAACTGAGACATCTCCAAGCATGTTCACCAGCAAAGGGGAACTTTCCTTTTGAGTGTGCCCACAGAGTCAGCCTGGCTTCAAACCCAGCGCAGCCTGTTCTGTGGAGCGACACCTTTTAGAAAGAGGTGAATGTTGGAATGGGACAGTTCCTGGAGGGTTTGGAGTGGCAGTTGGGGGGAGAAATGATGGCCCCCGTTCTCCTACAAAGAGATACTTAGTGGGGTTAATGGGAAACAGAGTGTGTATGAAAAGTGAGGGGTAAGGGACACAGTCTGAAGGACAACAGAGAGGGAGATCCCATTTGTACAGGGGTAAGGGGAGGATAGATACCCACAGAAGGAATCTCCTATTCTCATATGGATGTTGGCTGTTGACTCTAATTATTTTCTTGCCAGGGTAAGATCCTCACCTCCTGAGGTAAACCCTGGAGAAGGCCACGCGGTCAGATCTCCAGGAGGATCTATCCAGCACTTCCTCCCTGCTTGTGGTCCTGGGGGCGAGGTTTCTTCCCAATCATGAAATGAGCTGCAGGACCCACTGCCAAAGCTGGTGGATTCCCAGGACACCAGGGCCACTTATGGGTGCTCTGTACCGCATAGCTTCAGCTTCTCCCTGGCCATCCTTACCCCAGGTACCCGCACTGACGGAGGCTCCTTGGAGCAGCTAATACAGTCCCAGGCTACATGGCCTTTACTGAGCACACTTGTGGGGCTGGAATTGTGGGGTTTTGGTTTTTTGTTTTGGTTTGGGGTTTTGTTAGTTGTGGGGGAAGATTGAGGCTGAGAGGAAGAATAAGAATACAGTGAGGAAAACACATTTCCCTCTGCAGCTCCCAGAGGAGGAGATGGAGAACTGGATCAGGTGGAGGGCCCTTGGCACAGGGGGCCACAATGAAGAGGGCAGAGATGGGTGGGAGAGGAAACAAAGATGGTGGGGGCTAGGTGTGTGGCGTGGCTAGAGTAGAAAGGCTAAGGGAAGAGCAATGAAAGCAGAGGAGCACAGTTGTGCAGGGCTCTCAAGGAGAGGGTGAAGAACTTAAAACTCATGGAAGGTGAGATGGAGGGATCAGAGCGGTAAGCAAGACACCTTAGGAAAGGAGTTCAAAGGAATTTATTAGCAGATAGAGCACTTAGTAAAAGTGCATCATAAATGACTTCCTCTTCATCTGGCACTCCCAGCACTGAGGGCATGGAGAGAGAACAGACCTCTATAGAGGCAGTCTCTTCAAGGGAGTTGAGGTACAGTGGTGGAACAAGTTTGCACTGCTGCTGCCTGGTACCTGCCCTGTAAATAAACAGGTGAGGTAACAAAATACCAACTACATGAACGTAACATTCACTTAAGAAACCAAGCAACTTACTACTGTTTTGAACAGTGAAGCTGGAATAAATCCTTCAAAGAATCTTCGTTGCCCTCTACAGCCAAGTCAGAAGTAGGGCTCTCTGAAACAGCACGCATTTAGCCTAGGTAGCCTTCCTTTCCAACTTGATTTCTTTTTCTTTCCTTCCAGGGGATTTTCCAAATGGTTCAGAATAATCCAATACTGTTGGAGTATGAAACATTTTCACTTTCGTTTTGTTCCTGCATTTCATCATCATCTTCATAATCATCCTCCTGAATGGAATTAGCTAGTTGGTTCTGCTGTGGCTCTGGCTCTATGCTAAAGAGCTGCTGTTCCAAGAAGGAGCCTCCAATGCCATATAGCTCATCATATGCGTTCACTTCTGCAGGTGACACGTGGGGAGATCCCAAAATAAAGTTTGCAAATCTGCCAGATTTAAAAAGGGGAAAGGATCAGGCAGGAAGAAAACCAAATACACAGAATGCTGCCAATTAAAGCTGACTTGAAGCAGAGACCTGCATGTTTTGGGTATGTGTATAGACAGCATTCAAAGCAGGAATCATGCCCCCATGGCATGCTGGAGTTTAACCCTGAGCTAAGGATTCACACACACAAGAGGGTAAATAGTAAAGGGCAGCATACAGTACTGAACTTTGTCACCTCAGTTAGCTGTTTTTCTTCGTCGTCCTCCTTTCAAATGTTTTCAGTCTTCGCTTCATGCTTTAATTAAGTAATTTTGGTTCCTTAGAGAGCGAGTAGGGCATAGTGACCGAGCCAGGCACATCTGACCTGTGTTTCCAGCTCTTACTGCTCACGGTGTAGACCTATGTAGGTCACTTGCCTTCTCTCAGTTTCAGTTTCTCAATTAGCAAAGTGAGGCTAATAATACTTTTTTCCCAAGAATGTTATGAGGATTCATTAATGTCTCTGGAGAACTTGAGAGAGAACCCCTGTAACTTACATAGTCCTTTATTTGAATTCAAGAAGTGCTGATACTCTATTCCTGACAGAAACAAGTGCAAGAGCTCAACACCCAGGAATTCCTGCACTACAGCATCGCATACAGCCAGGCCCTGTAGACTCTGCAGCAACTAGGCCTAAACTCTGCAGCAGGATCCCTGCTCTCTATGGCGCTCTGGTGTGACAGGCTGGAATTTCTGCAGCAGCTCCAGGTAAACTCCAAAATGGAGGATTCACTGAATAAAACACGAAAACAAACAGTACAGTAATATTCTGTGTACTACTTGAGAGCTTATATTCCATGTATTTGACACTGGCCCATGCATTTTGACATGCTGCCAATATTACTTTGATAAAGGACAGCTGCACTGCAGAAGTCAGAGGGGATGCTGGAGGTTTTTGGAAAGTGGGGGCCTTTTGGTGAGGGGTTGTAAGAAAAGCACATTAGCGAAACAGCTCTGTTACAGTGATCGCAAGTTAAATAGTTAATGTTAATATTCATATCATTGTCATTATATTTCTGAGCTAAAACTTCAATGAGTTGAAGAGGGCTGTTCACTCTTCTTACAAATGTACTTCAGACTCAGGCAGACATCATTGCTTTGGTTTCATTTGGTAGGTTTTCTTTGTTACCATAAGGGGAAGAAATATAATTATTCTTTAATGAAAGCTTAGAGACATGGTCAACTTAAGAATCAGACTTCTGCCAGACTCTTTTATTTACATACTATTGTTACAAATAATTCCTGAGAATAACTAAAAGCGATTGGAGAAAAATATCTCCTCACTTTGTTTACTTTGTGCATTTGGCAGCATGTTGCACATAACCAGTTAGTTTTCCCTCTGCTTGGTATGGGTTTTTCCATGGTAATAAGCGAGACAGACATTTTTGAAAACTACAAAAACCTGACTACAGAAAGTGTCATGGGAAGCCAAGTGCAGGTGCACTTCCCATTCCTGAAACTCCTTTGAACTCAGTTTTGATAACAGATTAAATTCCAAGCTGATGGTGCTTTAAATTCTGAAGCACAATTCAGGGGCGAGGGTGAGTTCTGTGGCTGCATAATACCTAGAGCCTGCTGCTAATATTTTACGGTTCTAATTTTGGTTTTCGGATAAGCATGTTGGAATTCTTATGTCCCTAACTCCTCTGGCTGCCAGCCCCTATTTTATATGGCCTCTCCTTTATAGCCCACCATCATTCTTCTAATTTGCTAGCGGTGTCTCTGTTGAACTGTTCCAGACACAGTCTCTCCATCCACTCAGATTCCCAGGGGCAGAGCATGCCATTTCCACAGCATTCCTAGTCCTATTTCAGGGCATGTCTACAATAAATACTATATTAGATCCTCACTCCCACTCTGCCCCCTTTATAGCCACTGCAGTAATTACTGTAGTGGTTCATGTCCACACAACCCTCCTTCAGTTCGTGGAGTGCTTCCACTGACCTAAGAGGGGCGGTGTGGGGAGCCCCAGGGCTTCCAGGAGCCCAGCTGCCCCACAGGCTCCTGGCTCCCTGCCAGCTCTCTCCTCCCCTCCCCACTCTCTGTTCCCTGCTCACCGCCCCCCAGCTCCTGCCTCCACGCTGGCAGCCTCATGGGCTTCCAGCACGGAGGTGGAAGCCTCAGAGCAGCCAGGCTCCCAGCCAGGAGCCCAGGGGCAGCTCAGCTCCGAGCAGGGAGCCTGGAGAATGACAGCCAACAGCCAATGCAAGTAACACAGTGTCTACATGGACACTGCGTCGCCCTAACTACACCGACATAAGCCCTCCTATGCCTCTCATGGAGGTGGAGTTGTTATGTTGGTGTAGTAGGGCACTTACATCGGTGGGCGCAAGGCTATAAGGTGGATAGAAAGCTGGCTAGATCATCAGGCTCAACGGATAGTGATCAATGGCTCCATGTCTAGTTGGCAGCCGGTATCAAGCGGAGTGCCCCAATGGTTGGTCCTGGGGCCGGTTTTGTTCAATATCTTCATTAATGATCTGGAGGATGGCGTGAATTGCACCCTCAGCAAGTTTGCAGATGACACTAAACTGGGAGGAGTGGTAGATACGCTGGAGGGTGGGGATAGGATACAGAGGGACCTAGACAAATTAGAGGATTGGGCCAAAAGAAATCTGATGAGGTTCAACAAGGACAAGTGGAGAGTCCTGCACTTAGGACAGAAGAATCCCATGCACTGTTACAGACTAGGGACCGAATGGCTAGGAAGCAGTTCTGCAGAAAAGGACATAGTGGTTACAGTGGACGAGAAGCTGGATATGAGTTAGCAGTGTGCCTTTGTTGCCAAGAAGGCTAACGGCATTTTGGGCTGTATAAGTAGGAGCACTGCCAGCAGATCGAGGGACATGATCATTCCCCTCTATTTGGCATTGGTGAGGCCTCATCTGGAGTACTGTGTCCAGTTTTGGGCCCCACACTACAAGAAGGATGTGGAAAAATTGGAAAGAGTCCAGCAGAGGGCAACAAAAATGATTAGGGTGCTGGAGCACATGATTTATGAGGAGCGGCTGAGGGAACTGGGATTATTTAGTCTGCAGAAGAGAAGAATGAGGGGGGATTTGATAGCTGCTTTCAACTACCTGAAAGGGGGCTCCAAAGGGGATGGATCTAGACTGTTCTCAGTGGTACCAGATGACAGAACAAGGAGTAATGGTCTCAGGTTGAAGTGGGGGAGGTTTAGGTTGGATATTAGGAAAGAACTTTTTCACTAGGAGGGTGGTGAAGCACTGGAATGAGTTACCTAGGGAGGTAGTGGAATCTCCTTCCTTAGAGGTTTTTAAGATCAGGCTTGACAAAGCCCTGTCTGGGATGATTTAGTTGGGGATTAGGTCCTGCTTTGAGCAGGGGATTGGACTAGATGACCTCCTGAGGTCCCTTCCAACCCTGATATTCTATGATTCTATGTAGTGTGTACACTGACATAGTTAGGTCGACATAAGCTGCCTTATGTCGATCTGTGTCATGTAGACCAGTGCTCAGCCTATGGAAAAAGATACATTGGCTGTCACTCCAATTGGTTTGTTTGGTAATGCAGAACCTTATGATTATAGGGCCAGATCCTGCCAGCATTTGAGGTGAGATCCTCACTCCCACCCTGCCCCCTTTACACCATGTACAAGACTGGGAAGCAGTGTAGAAGGATCCTAAGAGCTCCATACCCAGCCAGGGGATGATTCCCACGAAAGCAGGCACTGTGGGGACAGCCATCCGGCTGCTTTCTGAGGACCCCTTTGCAAGCTCCAATGTAGGAGGCATACCAGGAGCAGGAATGGGAGGATCCTATCAGGGACAGGGCTACAGGCATCACTGCAGAGATTCTAGGCTGCCATAACTTAGAGAGGCTCCCAGGTCTGTCTAAATTAGCTGAGAGGACCCAGCAGCCCAGAACCAGAAGGGCACAGAGGTCCCTTCAAGCCACTTTAGCCCTTTAAGCTGCAAGATCTGTCCCCTGGGACACCAACAGGACTATTCTCGTGAACAGAGTTACATGTTTGATTGAGTGTTGGCAGGATCAGGCCTATAAATTATGCTGCTTTAAGGAGTATTTGGCTCTTCTATGTAACAGTGACTATAAAATACATTCAGTTTTAAGAGATGAGTCTTTCTTACTTTTTAGGGGACTGGAGTTTGGACACCGCTAACCAGGAAGAGAAATCTGGACTCCTGCAGAATGAGCGTAGCTCGTCCAAGGCTTTCACAGTCTCTGTTTCCCCCTGCTCCCTGTATTCCTCTTCAGTAAGAAGCCGAAACACTAGTTTTTTTGATTTAAAAAAATTCTTGATTTTTCTAAAACAAAATGAAACACAATTCATATTTCCAAATCTATCGCACATGTTACAAATACACTGCTCCCCACATCACTATGACCTTTTCTTTCTTTCTGGCATCTACTATTAAGGGAACAGCATAACATCATCTTGCCTTTGCATGGGGAGAGGCAAATAGCTACTTTAAAAGTCCAACATAATGAGCCTGATTTTCATTCCCAAGGTCCATGTATATTTGCCTGCCTCGTTTGGGTCAGATCCAAAGTCACTGAAGTCAATGCAAAGTCCCACTGACTTTCAAAAGGTCCTTTATATACACAGAGAACCCTGATGGAAACTAATAAATGGATGCTTATCTAGCCATTTGCAGGTGCAACAGGGATTTGCACATGCAAAATAGGCACACAGGGACGATGGGGCTGAAAATCAGGCCCAGTGTGCGCTTGGAACTTTGCAGATGAACAGTGCTCTTAAAATCTTTTGCAAATTGTTCATATTGCGCCTTAAAATTACACAGCTGAGTAGTTTGAGACAAAAGTATTTATAATCTGATGTAGCTGTTATGATGCTGCATAGTAATTTATAATGTATTTAGATATCACTTAGACAGTCTGCTGTGTTCTGTTCCCTTCTATTGACTGCTTTCCATTTTTGTTGTTGTGGTAACTTTGGAGTTAAGACGAGCAAGGGCTGGATGCCCATAAACAGAGTTTAAACTCTATATGAATGTACCTGCGCTAGCCAGCTGTGTTTGACTTACTCCCTCAAGACAATGGGAAATGGATTGAGGCTCTTGTTTGTCATTGTTCGTGTGGTAAGGGTCAAATCCTGATGCCACTGAAGTCAGTGACAAAGCTCCCAGTGGGCTCAATGGGACCAGGTTCTAGAGCTTACTAGGAGAGCAGATTATCAGCAGTATGTGCAGATGGCTACTAAACTGAATTATGCAGTTTGCTTCCTCTGTGATCATTTTTATCAAACCGTCAAGGTTTGGGTTTGTTCTGTAGAATTAAGTAACAAACAAATAACTTTAAAATGTACTGTTTGTAAAACCCATCAAAAACTTCCTTTCTGAAAGAGATTTTTGTATTATATTGTATGTGCTACCACTCTCTTGGCTCTGCAGGAGCAGTCAAAACAAAAACTGAAATCACGCCAGAGGTCAGCACAGAAACAAAGACACTTTGACATGTCAGAGTATATACTTACGGTAAGGTATATTCTGGCTACATTCAGCACTGGTTTAAACTGGTACTTCTCCCATTGACTTCAGCGGGAGCTGAGCACCACTTAGATCAGATAAATGTTCTTACATGCTGCTGTTTAAAGCAGGTTCTTCTTTTCAGCTGGGGTGGAAAAATCTGTGTTTGTCAAATGACAAGTTGTGCTAAAAACCCCAAAACCCACCACTTATCCAAGCTTCTAGGGGAAGGCAAAGAAATAGTAAAATGGTTTTTAAAAACCAAGTGGTGGTAAAGCATAGAAAATATAAGTAATAATTAAGTTGCTGTGGTTTGTTGTAAAGCCAGCTTCAGTCTTTGACTTCCCGTAGGCTCCTTAGTTCAGTGTAACAGGTTGGGACTGCCTTTAGAATCATAATTTGTGTGTTACTGTTGACATGATAAAACATATTTTAAATTCACAGGACAATAGCAAACAGAAGCTTGTTCCCATGTGGCTACACCGCATATACAGGAAAGCAAAAAACAGGATTGAAAAGTGTTCCAAACTACGGTCTCCATCCTGGAAGCAGCTCCAGATGGGTGGACCCCAGCTCCAGCACACAGCCCCACTTCTATAGAGTGGGCTCCATGCAGGTCCAGGTTTCTGCCCCTATTGAGCTCAGTATAGTGTTGGGGCCTGGTAAGTGTAAATAAGGACGTCTGGGGTGAAAACCTGGGTCTATTGAAGTCACTAGCAAACTCCCATTGACTTCAATAGGGGTAGGAGTTCACCCCTGAACTCTACCCTTGACAGTGATGACCAATTAACCTACAGTTTTATCAGAGTATCCTAATGTCAATATCTCATGTCATCTTGTGGTAAGTGTTTTGTCCCATAGGAATCTGCAGGTAACTCTTGTTAAAAATCAAAGTCCTGTCAGACCTATTAAACCATGATGTTGTCACTGCAGTCTAGCCAATCAATCGAATGAAAAGCCATCAGTTACCAGATGCTGCAGAAAAGCTGTTCAATTTGTATTTATGAAGGTTATAGTCACAGTTCTCTATACAGCAAGATCCATGCTTAAAACTCCTGCATTGAGAATTATTAAATTCTTATGCATTGGGGTTTCGAGCCTTGTCTCTAATGTAAGTATTCATTAGGTAAGAATATGTACTAGGATTAGTAACTGACAGATAATTGTCATTTTATGTGGGTTTTATTATTAACCTTTTAATATTACCTTATAATACAGTGACTTATACGTTCAGAAAATGGATACCAACCTGCCCACAAAGCAGACCATGCCAAGGGGATAGCACAGGCCTTTTGAACAGAGAATGATAGCTATTACTGCATATGCAACCTGTGGGATGGTGACACCAAAATAAATCAAGACAAAGGCTATTAATTGTAATGTCCACGTCAAGAGGGTTATGCTTCGCTCATTGGTAAGTGGTCCATGCTTGTAACAAACCACAAAGCTGATAAATCCAACAGTCAGAAAATACCCTGTGAAAGCAGAAAAAAATGCCATATATAGAATGACACAAAGGATTAACTTTAATAATAGACTGACAGCTTAAAACTGCCACACAGCAAATCTCACTGTTACTCCTCATGCTGTCTACTATGTACTTTGGGAACATGAGGGGCCTGATATTTAAAATACATATGCAAAAAAATGCATACAGTGGCACACTGGACTTGAGTATGTAATTACGATGACTGCATATGCAAACTGTGTATCTGCATGTGCAGATGGCAAGTTAAAGGCATAACTGGCTATCTATGTGCCGAAATATCCTACATGTTTGTTTGTTTAGATTTAAATCATAACTTACAATGCTTATCCAAGGCGGTAGGCATTCTAAAACACCATTAGCAATACAATTACATGTCAGAATTTAATGGTCATTAAAATGATCAGTTTAATTCACCTGTATGTGCAATTGCAGGAATGGTGTGCAATTGCATTGTTGAAAGGTCCTAATTATACCTCAATACTTGTGTAAACATATGCATGGATTAGGCTCCATACTAACAATAAGTCAGTATTTATTTTCAAATAAAATGTTGGAAATGAAGCTGATAGGCTTGCAAATACAGTATGTGTATCAAATTAATCTCACTCATGCTAAAAGCATGTGGGCAAGCCATGGTTCCCCTCCTAATTGGTGAAGAGTGAATGCTGAAAGGTCTGGAGCTTCAGTTTGGATAAGCATCCAAAGGAGTCCATGCTTATTCAACACTGTACTTTTTGGTTTCAGCCACGCTGGCAATTCTGCAAGAACAATTTTTCTCACTGTACTTTTCTCGGTGTGCTTCAGGGGTGCCACCAAAGCAAAGGTGAGTGAACATAAAAAAAAATGGAAAAACTATATCGTATTCAACTGAGTCAAAAGCAGTTCGTGAATATTAACAGGCACAGAGCATAAGGGGCTGGCATAGTGGCCTAAGAACAGTGCTCTGTACTGCAAGAGCAAGCGGGGAGAACCAAGTTACAAGCTTGTATCCCAATCTCTCTCCCCCTAGGCCAGCAAGGGGCATGAGAATTCCTTATTCCTATATTAATAAATGCTTTAAGAATAAGTGCACCCTAGCTGCACCTCCAGGTGCCAGAGATGCTTGCTGTGCTCAGGGAAGATAGCACTGTTTCTACCATTATCACTGTCTGATGGGGCTAACTCCAGGGAGGATGGCTTTAGCTGATAATAGAGGCTGCACAGCTGTTTTGACCAAGGAAGATGCTGAGGAAATGTGCTGAAGCAATAGGTCCCCAGCCCCCTTGGCAACTCCCCCTTTCCAGGCAGCACAACCCCCACTCCAAGCTCCAGACAAGAGAGGAGATTGTAGCTGTCTTCTCCCACAACCACCTCCCTCTTTGCTTCCATGGTGGGTGTGAAAAGGAAATGACTGGAAACATAAGATGGGCAAAACGTTCCCTCTTCTTCATGCCTCTACAAACCAACATCAAACTCCCTATTTAAGGATCTAATGAGAATAAATGCTCATTTGAATGGATTAGGAGCCTTCAGAATCCTCCCACACCTCACATTCATGAGAGAAAAATATTAATCAGATGCAACTTTTACAAACTGTTTGTTCTGACCTCTTAACAAAAACCTGTCCGCTGTACATTTCTGCTCATTCTCTTACCCAGTAAGTAGTTTCTATATTCAGACCACAGCCACTTCATTTCCCCTTTCAAACAGTAAATAAAGTAGAGAGAGGACATCCAGCCGCCACTCATTAAAATCCCAAAGGTGCTGTGCTGGGAGTAAAAGAAAATAGTTAGTGAACCAGCTAGCTTGTGGTTTATTATTTATATGATGGTAGCATCCAGAGGTCCCAATCAGGACTGGGCCACAGTGGGCTAGGGATTTCACAAACATACAGGTAAACGCACTATCTGTACTGAAGAGCTTATGAGCTGATTCACTTGTTAACCCTGCTATATCCTGCTCTCAAGTCTCAAGATAAGTGAGGTGAAGAGGAGCCACTGCATGGGATTTTTGTCCAAACTTCTTGAAGCTGCATATTACAATAATAATAATTAATACTAAACTCTGACATGTTTTATAGAGACCAAGGCATTGTGCGGGAGGGGGGGAAGGGTGGCATAAGATTCAGCCCTGCCTTTGTGAGACAATTTTGCTACTGGATATGAAAAATAAAGTCAAGGTTACAACTGCCACAAAAATTATGATTTCATTTTGACTCATTTGTTGACTCACGACATAAGCAAATTGAGCTGAGAGACTAAAATCACACCCCTGTAATTATGGTTTCAGAATAAATGCTCGTCATTGTACATCAGCAAACGTAACTGTTTATTTCAGACTTTGGAGGGCAGTCTATCTAGGGCCTAATTCTGATCTTAGGTACACTGGTTTTACACTGAAGTAAACCCCCATCAAAGTCAATGGAGTTATTCTGTCATAAAACCAATGAGAGATCAGAATCTGGCTCTAGACTTGCTATTTGCTATTTTGTTTTCCACATGGTACACCTACCTTTGGAATAAATCTTTTAAGTGTCAACAGGAGAAAGACTAGTGTAGCAAGAACACCCAATGCCACTCCAGCAGAGTAATAGAACATAGCACTCCTGTTAGGGAACAGCAAGGTGGGGGACACTTTAAAAACCTTTTACTGAGTTGCAACTGGTTTGGAAGTACCAGAAAGTGTAATGCTGTACTTAATCACAGAGATTTTCAGCTCTGGCTTCATCTGCTTTGCACTGCGGAGGCAGAACGAGGCAGCCAGAAAACTCCCATAAAGAGGCAGCTGAGAATTCCCTGACAGAGAGGAATCTTGGGTGTCACAGATGGCTGTAGGTTGCCTGCTCGTCCCCAACCCCTGTGTTAGGGTGGCAAGAGGTTTGTGGGAGGGTGGGGGGCAGTGCATGGCATTCCAGATGGTCCCTGAATGGTGCCCAGATGACCTTGTGGGATGGGGGCAGCTGGCAGAACTTAGAGCTGCTCTTAAGTTACACAAGGGTCACTTTAGGTCCCAGCCAGTTCCCCTGCTGGGCTGAGTGTGAACTCAAGGGACCTGAGGATCTAGTACTCTTTAAAAAAACAAACAGCATTAGATTACTAGAGTTGTGAGAATTAAAAATAATCTCATTGCCTTTTCCTTATTTCAGCTTTTATTTACTTTTCCATATCTCAAAATTTCAACAGTGAAAACATCTCCTCAGTTCCACTTTTGTTTATCATGTTTCTAGTCAATTTCATTTTCTTGTCCACAATGCTGTAATTTTTGGATTGCACGAATATTTTTATTTTACTTTTTAAAAAACATTTTGATGGAAATAAAAAGAAAATTTAGAAACTCTCTTGGTTTTGTAAACTTATTTTTACAAAATCCAAAGGTTTAATAAAATTTGACCTAATACTGTTTAAAATTTGGTGATTCGCAAATTTTAAAAGTGGAACAGAACTTTTGAGATGAGTCACAAATGAACTGACTGTACGATGCCAAACTCCACATGAAACAAAATGACTGCAAATATCTTCCTTGCTACACTACACAAAATATGAGGGCTAGCTTGTGCTCTTTAATGTGCAGCCATGAGTACAGGGTGAGGTGGAGGCGGGGAGCAGTAGAGACCGTGAGGCCCAGATGACCTCATTTGACACACAGTTCCTCCCTAAGATTCCCACACTCTGTGGATTGGAAATTTGCAACCTCCCTTTATGCAGCACCCCCCAGGGCTTCATTGGGAGGGAGGTGATGGCTCTGCTTACTCTTTGCTCACTTGCTCATAGGGAGAATCCCAGGTGCAGTCCTTGTACACCCACAAGTGCTAGGAGCCATGATCTGGGAAGCCTTAACACAGCCACGCAAGTGAAAAATCTTTACATTACATCTCTCCTCTTCATGGCTACATTATTATGATAGTTTACATACATTTTTTTATTTCATTTTTTAAAAAGCAAACAGTTGCTTGGGATCATTGAGCTATACAAATAAATAGAGAAGACAATGCATGAATAGGAACACACCAAGAATGCAATGACTCTGGAAAGAATACCAAGATAAAGGGGCTAATACTTACCTACTCAAGGTGTTTGCAAAATGGAACAGAAAAACACCAGCTACGAACAAAAGGATGAGTTTCCTATCCACCACTGAAAATCCAAAAAACAGCATTTTAGGCTAATTCATCTGGGTGATTTTAATTGTACAAACATTATCAGACAAGTCTCAGCTGTTCCATTACGGTAACTCACAACTCAGAATGCACTATTCAGGCAATAATGTTGGCAATATTATCCAGCCCATTCATTGGATGAATGGAAACACTCACTCTACTTACTATTTCGTTGTACACTCACGGTGTAGGGTACTTTCTTGTAGGGTTGGACTGTGAAACACATATTCTCTCCATATTGGTTTATGTTTATGACAGTTTCTTTAGATGCCTCTGATTGCCAAATGATTTGACCAATACACTTGAAAAATGCAAAAATAGTTTCTGAATTATGACAATTGCTTTCAGCTGTGATAGGCACAAACTTGAACATTTCTGTGCTGTTAATTTTCACCTGTAAACAGAGCAAAACAAAACATACATAGTAGGAACTCGGATCGATATGTATCTTTCAAAAAGACTCCCAGTATTTGAACATAACATAGGGAGAAATAACAGAGCAGAAGCCTATCCCACTGCAGTCTCTTAAATCAGGTACTTAGTCCTACTGTACTTAATGATTCATATACAGCCTCACTGAAGTCAGTGGGCCCCCATGTGGGTGCATGGATCCATTTGAAGAACCAGATCCTAAGGTTACAATTCCATCATGGGCACTGTGATGCTACAGATGTTTGACACACTACTAACATTGACTGCCCACATTTTCTTTGGCAGATGCCCAGGCTCACTTTTCTCATAGGCTATGAACCCACTGTTCCTGAATCTTCTTGTGGATAAGGATGCTAACTGCACATTAGATGTTAAGGGAGAACAAAAATGGAAATTGTCAGAAAGCAGAAGAGAGTGCGACAAAAACTGGAATAAAAAATCCAGCCCTCTTCTCTTCAAGAAGGACTGAGCTGTAACACTGATCTTCTCTACCTTCTGAACAGGAAAAGTCCTCCTGATGCTTAAATTGTGAACTAATGAGCCCGGGCATCTGAAATAATGGATGCCCAACGACAAGGAGAAGCACTATCTCATCTAATAAGAGAGGCTTCTTTATTGAAATGCAAAGAGTGATCTGCTGGGGAAAATCTTAGCTGCCCACTTTTAAGCATTTACATCAAGAAACTTTCCCAGCTGCTGGATGTGATCACTGCCTAAAGTCTGCCACCGCTCATAAAAATGACCATACACATTGCATCTGCCTGGAGAAAAATGTTCTGGGCAGGGATGAAGAGGAATCTCCAGTTCCTTACACCTGGAGGTGAAGTGAAACTGTTTCTTTCCCCACCTGGGGAGTCAACTGCTCAGAAGAAGAGCCAAGGAGAAGATCCTGAACTTGCTCCTTAGCACAGGGGTTAAAGAGGTGTTCTAAGCTTCTAAGTAGTTGAGACTTAGTACTTTGCAGCTAAAGGTGAATATCTTACAAGGTGCACTCTTGCCACTCCTGTCAGTATTGGAAATATGCATCTGATGTTATATAGCCTTGTTCTTGTTTTGCTGTCAAAAAGTCATCATATAACATCCAATACACACAACACAGTTGAGTTGACATTTCTCTGCCTCTCAGCAAAGAAATAAAGCCCCCCATCCATGCAACAAATAAGAGACATCAAACTGCCAAGTCAGCCACACTAGAACTGAAAGCAGCATGCCACTAAAAGATGCTTCTTTCTAGGCTCCGTCTATGCAACCCTCGGACTGATTTCATACTGAGATGCACCTGATATCTTATATCTTGATCAGATTGGTTGCTGGGAAAACATGTAACATATTAAAAATCTGAAGGCAGCTCCAAACACAGAATCTTACCTGAAGAGCTGACCAAATATATTTTAAGTGCATTGTTCCATTTTGCATATAACAGTAACAATCTGCATCTGGTTTTTGGATGACATCCATTTCCTTCAAATGGCTACAGTTTTTATCTAAAGAAAGAAAAACACTAAATGAAGTGCATTTCAAAGTGTGGGCATATGTTCACTTCCTCCATTCATGCTTTTGTTGTATTGTAGTTTGATATTCCAGCAGCCATAAGCAATTTGCAAAAAGTCTGACACAAAAAACCTGCTATAGGTTAATATTTTCAGAAGCTCTGAAATGACTTAGGAGCCCAATTTGAAAATTCAGACATGGCCTAGGCACTTAGAAGCTTAAGTCCCAATGATTTTCAATGGGATTTAGGTGCCTACATCACTTTGGAACATTCTGACTCTAGCCTGTTTTGGCTTTTTACTACATTTAGAAAAAAATGGTTTTTGTGCTAGTATTTTGATAGCATTGGGATAAGGTCCATGGGCCAAATTCACTATTGGCATAAGTGGGTGTAACTCCAGTGCTTAAACCAATGGTGAATTTGACTGTAGAAGTCTAATGAGGAAAACAGGCTTTTAATGTTAAAATAGTCATTTACCACACGATGTTGCTGCTGATGGAAGAAGTTTTAACATCATAACCTATTTGAAGTGGAGAAATTGTGTAATTTTGTTATTTTTAAGTAGTATATTAAAATATGTAATCAAATTATTTCTCCTACATGTTCTGAACGTTAACATAATTTTCAGTGATGACACCTTGTGGTGAGGGTAATTAGCTGTCTCTAGCAGTCCTAATGGCATTGGCAACTTGTCTAATCAATCATTTCCATTGTCTTGCTTCATGGAAATTTTAGAGACTCCCTACTGCTTTCAGGATTAGATACATACCTCACAGTATAAATATCCCTAACTGATTTGTGGGGCGAATTTTCAAGAGCATACATGCAAACCTGCACACACACACAAAAACTGCCGTACAGTGTATCACCTCAAGATTCCAGGAACATAATTAAAGAGCAGAATAAAGAAACATAATACAGCTGTTAACTCAGGGAAGAATTTGGTCCACTGAAGAGAAAACTAGGTATGAATGTAACAACTATCTGAATAATACAGGACAGAATGTTATCAAACACTGAGGATAGCAAAGGGAGTTCCTGTGCAGACTAGGGGCTAGTCTACACTTGCAAAGCTAAAGCAGCAGCGCTTTAACATGGTTTGTGTGGTCACAGCGCAGCGCTGGGAGAGAGCTCTCCAAGAGCTCTAAAAAACCACCTCAAGGAGAGGCACAGCTCCCAGCACTGGTGCACTGTTTACACTGGTGCTTTACAGCGCTGAAACTACCTGTGCTCAGGGGGGTGTTTTTTCACACGCCTGAGCGAGAAAGTTGCAGTGCTGTAAATTGCCAGTGTAGACAAGCCCTTAATTTAGTCAACTCAAAGAAATGCTGTTTGTAGGTAAAATCGATCTTTCTAGATGAGAAAGTTGCACCAGTTTAATTTAAATTGTGCTTTAAACTGATTTAGTTAAACCGATGCAAATTCCTGTCTGGACACACTTATCTGGGTTTAAGAAGCCACTCTGAAACTTAACTAAGGCTACGTCTTCACTACGAGGGGGGGGGAGGGTCGATTTAAGATACGCAAATTCAGCTACGCGAATAGCGTAGCTGAATTCGACGTATCCGAGCTGACTTACCCCGCTGTGAGGACGGCGGCAAATCGACCTCCGCGGCTCCCCCGTCAACGGCACTTACTCCTACCTGCGCTGGTGGAGTACAAGCGTCGATTTGGGGATCAACTGTCGCGTCCCGACGAGACGTGCTAATTCGATCCCCGAGAGATTGATTTCTACCCGCCGATTCAGGCGGGTAGTGAAGACATAGCCTAAGACTGTCCACCCAAGGGTTTGCACTGGTTTAACTAAATAGGTTTAAATCCACACTTTAGATTAAACTGGTGAAACTTTCTTCTGCAGCCAAGCCCTTTGACTAGTTAACTCTCACCCACACTGAAGCCAACAGAAGCTGGAAACTCTCAGGCCAGGACTGAATATGGTCCATGGATTGACTGGCAATCCCAATCCTTGAGTACAACAGTTTAGCACCTCACTCATCAAGCTATCAGCACCAACAGCTTGAGATGGAGATGAAGGACTACTCCTTCAGAACATAAGAACGGCCATACTGGGTCAGACCAAAGGTTCATCTAGCCCAGTATCCTGTCTTTCGACAGTGGCCAATGCCAGGTGCCCCAGAGGGAATGAACAGAACAGGTAATCATCAAGTGGTCCAACAGAGGCTAGGGACTCCGTCCTTGCCCATCCTGGCTAATAGCCATTGATGGACCTATCCTCCATGAACTTATCTAATTCCTTTTTTGAACCATGTTATAGTCTTGGCCTGCACAACATCCTCTGGCAAGGAGTTCCACAGATTGACTGTGCGTTGTGTGAAAAAATACTTCCTTTTGTATGTTTTAAACCTATTTATTTCATTTGGTGACCCCCAGTTCTTGTGTTATGAGGAGTGAATAACACTTCCTTATTTACTTTCTCCACATCAGCCATGATTTTATAGACCTGTATCATATACAGCCTTGGTTGTCTCTTTTCCAAGCTGAAAAGTCCCAGTCTTATTAATCTCTTCTCATATGGAAGCTGTTTCATACCCCTAATCATTTTTGTTGCCCTTTTCTGAACCTTTTCTAATTCCAATATATCTTTTTTGAGATGGGGCGACCACATCTGCACGCAGTATTCAAGATGTAGGCGTACCATGGATTTATATAGAGGCAATATGATATTTTCTGTCTTATTATCTATCCCTGTCTTAATTATTCCCAACATTCTGTCCTTCTAATGAATTGCTTCTTAACTCCAACAGATTAGCATCTGAAGTTGCAATGGACAAAAGATTTGGGAGCCCGTGGAGGGGTAAAGTTAGGTACCTTTCACCTGGAGCCCTATGAACAGGGAGAAGGTGTTTGCTCTGAGTTCACAGGGAAAGGGTGTTTGCCTGGAGCCCGCGGAGGAGTAGATCCCAGAGCCCATGGAGTAGTAAAGTTAGGTGCCTTTCGCCTGGAGCCCTACGAACTGGGTAAAGGTGGGTGCCCCTAGAGTGTGTAAGTAACAAAGAATTTTGTGTGGGTAGCAATTAAGCCAACCAGTAATGTACAGCAAAAGAGCACTCTTTGACACTCGCCTGGCATAGCCCCTGCTTAATTGTGAATCGGGCCAGCCCCAGTGTTTATCAGGTAGAAATCCTGAATGGAAAAAATGGGAAACCCTGGCAGAAATGGTTTCATTTCTCACAGCTCAAAGAGTGGAAGAGTAAACCACCTGACCCACAAGGAATAGTATAACTGTCTTCTCCATCCTGCCAGCCCCCCTTCTTGGCTAGCAAGAAGGAACGGCTTGGGGCTGTTGGAAAATATGTATCGGGTGGGCTTGGCAGTGCCTACCCCGATGTTGAGGCAGGAAAATGCCAGAGAAATCCTCGACTTATTATGGCCACCCTCACGTAAGTCACTGCTTTATGTTCACACTGCAATATTGGTCCCAGACTCTCCCACTATATATGGGGGGAGTGTGGGAGTTTGTTCTCTCTTCTCTGCCCCCTCACAGGGCCTGAACATGAGCCATGACATCCCACTGTTGCACCAGCACTCTGCTGTTCATAAGTGTCTGGAGTCTGATGCTGTCCAGGCTCTATGCTGAACCTCTGATCCCTCTGAGCCTCTGGAGGTGCTTACCAGCTGGAGCCCAGGAAGTAAAATTGCTGTGCCACATGCATGGATTCTATGGGAATGGAAGCAACCCCCTGGCCCTGCAGCGTTTCTACCAGTTCTATGCTGTTGGCAACTCCTCAGGTTGCCCCTGGGAAAACATTGCCAATTGCACGCAGAGTGCCGCGGGGAGTCACTCAAGTTTTGTTATGAAACTAAGACCACCCCAGACTCCATCCCATTCTTCTGTAAGTCACTGTGGTCTCGAAAGAGACGTACACTATTAAATGCAACCAGTAACCGCCTCCCAGGTGGCGGAAGGTGCAGGATAGTCATGGTTTCCTCCGCTATTTGGGGAGCAACCATGCCCTACGTGTCATCATTGTCGTCAGAATCCAGACACCTCCGTTACCCAGAGATGAACTGCAGCTGTCTCTGATCACGCCAGCAGGCAAGAATATCACATGGTTCCTCGTAAACTGGGAACCACTGACCTGGACTTTAGCTGGACCTGGCTTGATTCAACAAGGTCCCCCAGACTGGGTAGTTCCATTAAAGGGCACACATTGTGACAAGCTCATGCCAACAATTTGGGCACGTTGCCATTTCGGAGGGATTCCATGCGCCCAGATTGTACAGAATGGAATTGGGCCAACAACAAAAAACAGTTTTAAATTTTGACTCTCTGATCACAAACCTCGCTCCCCTCTGACATTTAAGAGCCCCAATTTCAGGACTCCATGTGTTAAAACTGGATCAAGAACATTTGGTTCCTAAACCTCAGACTTCTCTAAAGGAGGTTCAAATCCACTTAAAAGGCATGAATATCTCTCACATAGCACCTGTATGTGCTCCCTTGATTGGAAATAGCCATAAGGGTTGGGATGAATGTGGCAAGGGGCTGACCATGTAAATAGAGTAAAAAGGGAATTAAGTGATTGGATTGCACCTGTAGGAACAGGAATCTCTTTAGTTGATGCCGCAAATATAAAAGTTCTGACTAATAAACTATCATATGCTACCAAAAATAGAAAAGATGGGAACCCCATTAACAGCATCTTTGAAACAGTTAAGTGAGGAACAGCAGTTAATAAGTAAGGTATTTCCTGGGTTGAAAAGACTTATGAAAAAAATGAAGAGTTAATAATGTCTGGTGCACAGTCCCTCCAGAATATTGTCTCATTGACCTCAGCGTGTGAGCAAGCTCAGGCTCTCACCCAGAACATAATAATGGGAATGATTCGGCAAGCCATAGCAGGACAAATTCCCATGGAAGCAACCAACTTGATTCAGCCCCATGTAACGGAGGAAGAATTAGTCCTTCGGCCCTGGTGGAGACTATTAATGCTTTGTACAATCACCACCAGCAAAGCTTGCAGTTATTCT